GGGGTCTTGCTCTTGCTCAAGCTGGTTTTGAACTCCTGAGCTCAAACAATCCGCCCGCCTCGGCCTCCCAGAGTGCTAGCATTATAGGCGTGAGCCACCGCGCCAGGCCTTGCATTATGGTTTTGATTTGCATTTCTCTGGTGATTAGTGACATTGAGCATATACTTGCTGGCCATTTGTATGTTGTCTTTGAGAAATATCTGTTCAGATCTTTTGCCCAATTTTTAATTGGGTTGTTTGGTATTTTTGCTATTGCATCTTTATATATTCTGGTTATTAATCCTTGTCAGATGGGTAGTTTGCAAATATTTTCTCCTTTTGGTTGTCTCTTTGTTGATTGTTTCCTTTGCTATGCAGAAGCTTTTTGGCTTGATGTGATGCCAGTTGTCTATTTTTGCTTTGGTTGCCTGTGCTTTTTATTTCTTACACAAAAAATCATTGCTCAGACTAGTGTCCTGGAGCACTTCCCCAATGTTTTCTTCTAGTAGTTTCATAGTTTCACGTCTTAAATTTAAGTCTTTCATCTACTTTGATTTGATTTTTGTGTATGGTGAGACATAGGTTATAATTTCATTCTTCTGCATATGGATATCCAGTTTTCCCAGCACCATTTGTTGAAAAGACTATCCTTTCCCCACTGTATGTTCTTAGCACCTAGGTAAGTATTCTTGAGGAAGCTAAGATTCTGAAACTTTCCATGCCAGTAAAGACTGTAAGAAGTGGAAGTAACTCAGCTGACAACTACTGTCCAGGATACCTAATGTATGGTTTTCTCTAAAAGGTTCTATTTGAGGCATTTTTAAAGTTACTCCTATATAGAAATGGTTCATATTTTTGGTGGTTATTGGCATAGAAAACATACTGAGACTTACTTTAAATATGGAAATAGGTGAAGATACTGTGCCTTGTACTATATAGGCCCTTATAATTTTTAGAACACATTTATATACATTATCTCATTTGATCCATACAACACTGTGTAGTGGGGTAGATGGATATTATCTCTAAAGCACAAATGAGGATTGAGTCCAGAGGGTTTTGGTGAGCGTCCTAACTCACAGAGCTTTGGGTGGTAATCTGGCGCTGGAATCTAGATCTTCTGATTCCTTACTCAGTCCTCTTCCCCCAGTAAGAAACTTTAACTTGATAAACCCCACAATTTCTTTTTCTGTTGCTATGGACCATGAACCTTTTCTAGTTACTTTTCCTTCCACAGACTTCTGAAATCTTAGTGATGTTATCAGTAGCTAATTAGACCTTGATAATTATAACCAAAAGCAAAAATAAATATTGGCAAGTTCTTAGCTTGTACAGTTTTATTGGAATAAAGGAACAGTTTCCATTAGGAATTTTGTAATAAAAAATAATGGTAACAGCCACTATTTCTTATATTCTTATTTATGTACCAGACACGATAGTAGGCCATCCATCTTTGGAATATTAACAGCTTGAAGACCTCCATTATTCCTTTGAGCGTCCCCTACCAGGGCCAGTTTAGAGAACCTTCACTAGAAGCTAGGGTTGCCTCTTCAAGATAACTTGAATTTGTCTGGCAGAAGCTCTGTGTTTCTATAGTTTCTACATTTGGAGCATTTGTGGGGCTGGGAACTTAGAGCTTTCTCTATGAATGTATGGAGAGCACAGATCCTGGAGAAGCTAGAGCCTAACCCCTCTTGTGCTCCTTAGGATGGAGTCCACAGAGAAGTGTGAAGCCATCATCACCCACTTTAATGGAAAATATATTAAGACACCCCCTGGAGTACCAGGTGAGGCATCTGGGAATCAGGCTGAGAAGGCCACAGGTTGTTATTCCCAGTGAAGATTCTGGAGCAGTTTTGCATGAGTGTGAGTGGGCCAAATGAGGTGGGACTCAGCTGCCCATCTGCTTTCTCTCTTGGCAGCCCCATCTGATCCTTTGCTTTGCAAATTTGCTGATGGTGGACCAAAGAAACGACAGAATCAAGGAAAATTTATGCAGAATGGACGGGCCTGGCCAAGGAATGGAGACATGGTAAGAGGACTTCCAAGGAAACATGAGTGCTAAGGGCATTGAAGTGGAATGGAAATTACCATGGCCTGATTGTGAGTTTAGGTGGCAAGCTTTGAGAGCTACTGTATGTAACTGGGAGATGCTGGCTGTTAACATACTCTTCATCGTGGGTCTTAAGTGGAGTTTTGCAGTTTGCACAATCAGAAAAACTCTGGCAAAGCTGTAGTGGGGGGACTTATTCAGACTTTAATCAGTTGAACTAAATACATTCCCAGCCTTAGCATTCTGGCCTTGCTCTTGTTCTCACTGGAAGGCTCACAATATGAACACTTTGTTTTTTCTTTATAGGGTAGTATGGCATTGACCTATGACCCCACCACAGCTCTTCAGAATGGGTAAGGGTGTTTTATATAATCAGGTGACTTGAAAATGACAATGGCCTGTGTCCAGGCACTTGGATGTTTCATCTGGATTTTGAAGTAGCAGTTAGTGGGAAAGTGGCCATGCTTATTAGTTGGGGCTCTTACCTTGTGGTTTCCTGTGACTTGGTACTGATTGAGATTCCTTCCTGCAGGTTTTACTCATCCCCTTATAACATCACCCCCAACAGGATGGTTGCTCAGTCTGCACTGTCCCCATACCTTCCATCTCCTGTGTCTTCCTATCAGGTATGTTCATGCCTAGAACAGGGCATGGTGGTTTTCCTACCATTATGTTTTAGGGGAAGGAACATAAGGTTAGAAACTACTTGTTTTTTGGTTTTTCCTTTATACATATTACAAATAATTTTACATAAACACATAAAATGTGTGTGACCTTTGTGTGTGAATGTGGATACATTTATAGTACATAGTTTTAGTGGCATCCTCTTACTCTCCTTCCACTAGCTCCACAAGTAAATCCATGGTAATTTCCTACTATGTAGCGTTTTTCATGTTTTTTTCATGTGCATATACACATCTGTATAGAGTTTATACAGGAGTTAGGAGTTATAGTTTATTTTACAAAAATTGGACCATCTTAAGTATATTTTTTACATTTCACTCTTCTCACTTAGCAGTGTCTTAGACCAATAATTCTCAAAGTGTAGGCCCTGAAAGCACAGTATCGGCATCACCTGGAATTTTTTAGAAACACACATCTTGGACTCCATGCCAGATCTACTGAATCAGAAACTCTGAGGATGGGGCCCAGCAATCTGGTTTTTTTTTTTTTTTTTTGAGACAGAGTCTCACTCTGTTGCCCTGGCTAGAGTGAGTGCCATGGCGTCAGCCTAGCTCACAGCAACCTCAAACTCCTGGGCTCAAGCGATCCTTCTGCCTCAGCCTCCCGAGTAGCTGGGACTACAGGCATGAGCCACCATGACCGGCTAATTTTTTCTATATATTTTTAGTCGTCCAGATAATTTCTTTCTATTTTTTAAGAGAGACGGGGTCTCGCTCTTGCTCAGGCTGGTCTCGAACTCCTGAGCTCAAACAATCCGCCCGCCTCGGCCTCCCAGAGTGCTAGGATTACAGGCATGAGCCACTGCGCCTGGCCCAGCAATCTGGTTTTAACAAGCCCTCCATGCAATTCTGTTGCAGCTAATGTTGACATCCTCTGCTCTAATTATGTCTTTTTAGTGGTTGCATTATATTTCATGCTGCAGATATGCCAGAATTCTTTAGCTATACTCCAGTGGAGCACATTCACTCAGTTTTTTGCTGCTACAAATAATGCTCCAGTAAACATCCTTGTGCCTATATTTTTACATATGAGCACTTTTATTTCTGGGGGCTAGAGTCCCAGGAGTGGAATTGAATAATACATGGATTTTCAGTTTACAGATGTTGCCAGATTGCTTTCCACAAAGGCTGTGTCAATTTACATTGCCACCAGCCATGTTTGAGAGACCCCATCTCCCTCCAGCCATAGGTGTCATTGCTCTTTTAAAATTTTTCCTGTCTTGATGAATATAAAGTACATTGCTACTTTAATTTGCATTTCCCTGACTATAGGGAAATTTAAGCATTTTTTGTTTATCATATTTTGATTTACTTTTCCCTGATTGTTGTTCATGTGCTTTGCCCATTTTTCTATTTGGTTATTTATTCTTTTCCTGTTAACTTATTAAAAAACTCTTTTTGTAAGTATCAATCCTTTGTGTGTTATCTTTGTTACAAATATTTTTTTCCAATTTTATTTTTTGTCTATTGACTTTGTGGTCCTCAAGCCTTACTATGTATTAGAATCACTTGGAAAGTTTATTAAAACCTAGGTTGTTGAGTACCACACCTAGAGTTTCTGATTCGGTAAGTCTAGAATGGAAGCAAGAACTTGCATTTCTAACAAGTTCCTAGGTGATGCTGCTCTAGTCCAGGGACCCTATTGTGGAAATTATTAGTGTTTGCAATACAAAAGGTTAAAATTTATGTGTAGTTAAATATCTTTTTCTTTTATAGCTCTTAAATTTCCTGTCTTACTTTAAAAGCACAACAGTTTAAAATTTGTGTATAATTACATGTCTTTTTCTTTTAAAGGTTTTGAATTTCCTGTCTTAATTAAAAATGTCTTTCCAGTCTCTGTACTATACATCTAGTCTCCAAGAATTTTTTTTTTCTTTTTTGAGACAGAGTTTCGCTCTGTCACCCGGGCTAGAGTGCTGTGGCATCAGCCTAGCTCACAGTAACCTCAAACTTCTGTGCCCAAGCGATCCTCCTGCCTCAGCCTCCTGAGTAACTGGGACTACAGGCATGACTACAGGCATGTGCCACCACGCCTGGCTTTTTTTCTCTATTTTTAGTTGTCCAGCTAATTTCTTTCTATTTATAGTAGAGACGGAGGTCTCACTTTTGCTGAGGCTGGTCTTGAACTTCTGACCTCAAGCGATCCTCCCGCCTTGGCTTCCCGGAGTGCTAGGATTACAGGTGTGAGCCACCATGCCTCGCCTACTCCAAGATTTTATTTTATTGTTTTACAGTTAAGTGTGTAAGCATTAGGAATTTGCTTTTGTGTATGGCATAAAATAGGTGTCCTAGTATATTTTCTTTCGGTATGTTAACCAGTTCTTGTAGCACCAAATTATTAAACAATCCAATTTTTTTCCACTGAATTGAAATGTCCCGGAAACTCGTAATATCCTTTCTGTGTCTATAGATTTGCCTATTCTGGCCATTTCATATAAATGAAATCATACAGTATATGGTCTTTTTGTGTCTGGCTTCTTTCACTTAGCATGTTTTCAAGGTTTATCCGTGTTGTAGCACGTATCAGTACTTCATTTTTTTTTATGGCTGAATAATAATTTTATGGCTGAATAATTTGTGGACCTGCCACATTTTGTTTATCCATTTTATCAGGTGATGGCCATTTGAGTTGTTTCCACCTTTTGGCTATTATGAATAATACTGCTATGAACATTTATATACAAGTTTTTGTGTGGACATAGGTTTTCATTTCACTTGGATATATGCCTAGGAGTGGAATTGCTGGGCTACATATGTAAGTCTATGTTTGACTGTTTGAGGAATTGCCAAAATGTTTTCCGGAGTGGCTGCCCCATTTTACATTCCCAACAACAGTGTAAAACACTTCTTACTCTATCCTTTTAATTACAGCCATCCAGGTGGGTATAAAATGGGGTCCCATTGTGGTGTTTTTGATTTGCATTTGAGCCTCTTACATGTGCTTATTGGCCATTTGTATATCTTCTCAGAGAAAGTTCTATCCATCTCCTTTGCCTGTTTTTTAATTGAATTATTTATCAAATTGTAAGAATTGCTAATATTTTTAAGCAGTTTATTTATTTTTAGAAACTGGTCTAGCTCTGTTTCCCAGGTGTCTGGAGTGCAGTGGCACAACCATAGCTCACTGCAGCCTTGAACTCTTGGGCTCAGGTGATCCTCCTGCCTCAGACTCCCAAGTACCTAGGACTACAGGCAAGCACCACGACCACAACTGGCTAAATTTTAAAATTTTTTGTAGAGATGAGGTCTCACTATGTTGCCTAGGCTGTTCTCAAACTCCTGGCCTCAAGCAATCCTCCTGCCTTGGCCTCCCAAAGTGCTGGAATTATAGGTGTGAGCCTGGCCTTAAACAGTTTATTCTTTTTTTTTCCTTAATTTTTATTTTATTTTATATTTTAAAAATCTAATCTCATCAGCAAGAAAACAATTTATTCTTAATGTTTCTATTTTCTGAGGTGGGGACATTCTAAATTTTTTTTGGCTTTGTCGAACATTATCAGATCATTAGGCTGACAATGGTATCTAGGCAATTAACATTTTTATTTGTTTTTGCTTGCATTAGAGAGTGACTCAGACATCTCCTCTACAAGTACCTAACCCATCTTGGATGCACCACCAGTCATACCTCATGCAGCCTTCAGTGAGTGTTCAGACGTGGGCAGAAGCCAAAGAGGCAATTTGATGTGATACAAAGAAAAACAGTGAGCTTTGATGACAGGAGATGTGGGTGTGAGTTATAGTTCAGTCCCTTGTGCAACCCAGTTCCAAGACCTTAAATTCTGAGAGTTCGTTATTCTTAGACAAGGGTCCTCCACACCGATGGGCAGAGTGCCTATTCCTGTTGCATAGCTGGGTTGCCGCTCACCTATCATTTCCCAGGATTCTTAATTGTCTATCTTCAATGGTCCTGATAGCCATCAGTCACTGTTTTAGGCAGCCTCACAGGATGCTGCCAGCTAACCCTGTCGTTTTTTGCTGCCTCTAGGGTTCCGTTCTGACACCAGGTATGGATCACCCCATTTCTCTCCAGCCTGCCTCCATGATGGGACCCCTTACCCAGCAACTGGGCCACCTCTCCCTCAGCAGCACGGGCACGGTAAAGCAGGATATTTCTGATTATAAACTCCTACAGAGTAAGACATACCTGTGTAATGTCTTTCAGCATAAATAACGTATGAATATGATGATGGGATCACTTCAGTGTCATTGAGGGTGCACTCAGAGTAGGACATAAACTAATAAAATAATAATCCATGAGCCAGGAATACATTCATTCTGTTCCCCAGCCCACTCCTCTAACTGATTTCTACTCATGAAACTAAATGAATAGTGTTTCTATTTGCATATTAGTTTATCTAAGAAAAACACATTTCCTTGAAATCCTTATCAAAATAATAACAGGAAGAATGGATGAAACTCATTAGTTTCTTTTAGGCTTGCTGCATTCTGATTTGCACAGCAGGAATTAAGGGCAGAGAAGGCAGGAAAGATAAGGAAGTAAGTCATGTAGGTAAAAGTCTCTCTAAGCCAGTGTACTTTAGAACCACCTGAAGTGCTTTTAAGAACCCAATGCCCAGATCAATTAAATTAGAATCTCTGGTTGTAGAACACAGGCATCAGTATTTTTTTAAAGCTCCCTAGCTGCATTAAAGGTAGCCAAGAATTACTGCTCTAAGCTTATTGTTGTTTTTCATTCTAGTATATGCCAACAGCTGCAGCTATGCAAGGTGCTTACATCTCCCAGTACACCCCTGTGCCTTCTTCCAATGTTTCAGTTGAGGTAAGAGTGTTATCATTTCTTTGGATTAAGGATAGGAAATGAACAGAGGTAGATTTTCCCCTGATCAAGATCTTCCTTTCACAATGATGCCGATTCTGTGTTCACAAATAGCTGGTAGGTATATGAAGAATGTAGGAAGCATGTACTCACTTTGGCATCAAATATACTAACATTGGAATGATACAGGGAAGATTAGCATGGCCCCTGCGCAAGGATGACACACAAATCTGTGAAGTGTTCCATATTAAAAAAAAAGAAAAAGAAAAGAATGTAGGCAGGAAAGACTTAGGCTGTGTTCATGAATGAGACCCTTCCTCACATTTGGCAGCTAGTACTAACACCAGGGTGCTGGCTTGTATTGACTGGTATGTCTTGGGAAGAGGGCAGGCTGCTGTGAATGTTGGGGAAGTGGTGCTCTGTGTGCAGGCACTGCACATGTGTGTGGAGAGAGAGTAGTTTGGGGAGGGCACTCAGCTTTGCGTAGGTTTTAGCACCTTAGCTAAAGAGAGAAATGCACAAAATGACTCTCCTCCTTGGCTTTGATGCAGGAGAGCAGTGGCCAGCAGAATCAAGTGGCAGTGGATACACCCTCAGACCATGGGGTCTATTCTTTCCAGTTCAACAAGTAACAGTGGGTAAGAACAACATGCTGGGAGGTGGGGTGTGCTGAGTAGGCAGACAGCAGCTGAGGCCTGCCTGAAGTCAGACAGGTTCTCATGTTTATCCCTGTTCCACCCTCTCTGGCCTATGCCTTCTTTAGGATTCCCCTCCCTATCTTTGTTGAATGAATAGAAATGAATTCTTGGAGATGTTGATGTTCCCAGACTGCAAAGGGTTAACCAGGAATACAAACTATTTGTAGGCCCTGCTAAGGACTAACACTTAGCTATCGATTTTCACAGGCCTGGGCCTGGAAAAAGAAATCTCTACGCACCTGCCCTCTGCTATTTCTCCATTGCTGATGGAGCCTGGGGGAACCATTACTTTATGTGTGTGCTACATTCGTGGAGATCAAAAAACCTTTTTTCTTTTGCAAAGAAAGTTTCTTGTTTTGTTTTTAACTGCAGTGTATTCTTTCCTCACCCCAAAGAGACATAGTGGCTGGAGGATCTATATGAAAAATGGTTTTTAATGTATTGGAACTATTTGGGAAGGATTTTAAAACAATTTACAATTATTTCTTCAAAAAACAAAACAGAAAGATGTGATACTAGAACATTGATGAAGGAGCCCTACTTACTGAGTTTGGTTATAGATTTTTTTGATGTGTGTGTATGTTTAAGAAAATATGCAGACTTTTAAGATTTTGTTTTGTAAAGCTTTTGGCTCACACACCCTGTCTCCTCTTCCCCCATTTTATGCCTTCTTTCTCTCATCCAGATTGTTCTTTTTCTCTTTTCCATACAGCTGAGCCAGCCTACTTCACCTTTTTACAGTTGTTAATTTTGTGGATTTCTTTTCTGAATGAAATTTCATATGGAATTTTTGAGGAGCTGGGCAAGGAACAAGGTAGAACACTAAGCAGGCAATGGAAGTGGTTTTGCTTTCCTCTGCCCTGCCACATCCTGGGAGAAAAAACTAGACTTTGGCTTGAGGAAGCAGAGATGTGACCTAGGCTCATTAAAGAGACAACCCTACCGCCCTTGGAAGCCACGATTGAGCCAAATTTGGTTGAAGACTAGGTCTTCCCTGGCAAATTCCAGAATGGCAGACTTACTGACTTCTGACTAACTTTTCTCACTGCCGAGGCCAACACCATCTGAGGAAGTGTCTTTTCCAGCTACAGCCTTTTGGGAGTATCTGCTTTCCTGCCTCCTAGAGGATCTTCTTTTCTGCTCTGCCCTGTGTCATGGCCCCGCTCTTCCCTGTTACACATTGCTGTGCTTAGAGCCTTCGCAGCTGTGACCTAGCTGAATCCATGTGTGCTCCTTCCCCACTGTGGGAGATCCACTGCTTTACCTATAGACCAGTGGTTCTCAACCACAGGTGGTTTTGTCCCCCAGAGGACGGTGGCACCATCCAGAGACATTTTTGATTGCTAAACCTGGGAGTGGGTGGTGTGCGTGTGCTACTGGCATCTTAAGGGCTAGAAACCAGGGATGCTGCTAAACATCACGCAGTGCACAGGACAGTCCCCACTACCCCCAACAAAGAATTATTTGGCTCAAAATGTCAATGGTGCCACGATTGAGAAACCTTGATGTAGACAATGTTGTTCCTGCCTCCTCAGGTGGAGTAAATTCTCACCCAACCCTGGACACACAGTGCCTTTTGACACCAATGCAACTGGTTGAGAGGGACTAAACTGGGATCCTCGAATTCTCCTGAGGCTTTGACCTTTGACACTTCTGCATAAGGCAGGAGCTGTCCTTGAAAGGCTTGTGGCTGCGGTGCACATGCCAAATGCACTCGTATACTCAGAGCGATCGAGGTGGGGACCATTCTCTGTGTGTGCTGTGAAGGGGCGGGAAAAGGACAAAGCTCTCTGTAACTGTCCAGAGTGACCTGCCCTGCCCTGGTGTTTGGACCTCTTCCCCAGGGAACCAGGACAAATAATTTTCCTTCTTGTGGGAGGACAACAGGGAGCTAGGATAGAAAAGGGCAATAAGTACTAGCTCATTATTTATGAGGTCAGGAGTCCTTTTGAAAAATCTCTGACTTGCTCTTTAACTGTCTCCTGCAAGATCTGACCTTGTACACATGGAGACAGATAGAATAAAGCCTTTGCCCATCTTCTAGGAAATAAGATCCTGCTCCTTTCTTCTCCCAGCCACCCTCTTATGCACTGAAAGGAGAATTCTGCTCCTCTTCAATTCAAGGCCAGGTGCCTCTCCTCCAGACAATCAGACAAAGGCAACGATGAAGGATGGAGAAACAGGTGTTCATTAAGCTGGCTTTTGGGAGAGGAAGAGGGTGATAGCAGGGGAAAGAGAAACTAGTTATTAGTTGTTACACATGGAGCTTGGGCCCAGCTTTCTCTCCCTCCCCAGCCACCCCAGAAATGACAGTCCCAATTCTCCCTACTGAGGGTAAGGGAGTGGGGGGCAATATAGTGTAAAGCAGAGGTCCCCAACCTTTTTGGCACCAGGGATCAATTTTATAGAAGACAATTTTCCATGGACCAGGGGTGGGAGGGATAGTTTCAGGATGATTCAAGTGCATTACATTTATTGTGAGTCAAAACTCTCTCCCAATGTTAATCTGTATTTGCAGCCACTCCCCAGCACTAGCATCAGTGCCTCAGCTCCACCTCAGGTCATCAGGCACTAGGTTCTCACAAGAAGCGCACAATCTAGATCCCTCGCATGCACAGTGTGCAGTAGGGTTTGTGCTCCTGTGAGAATCTCATGCTGCCACTGATCTGACAGGAGGTGGAGCTTATATGGCGATGCAAGTGATAGTGATGGGGAGCGGCTGTCAATACAGATGAAGCTTCGCTCACGCTCACCTCCTGCCCTGTGGCCTCGTATCTAACAGGCCACGGACAAGTCTGTGGCCCGGGGGTTGGGGACCACAGGTATAAAAGACAGAATTGCTGCTATTTTCTCATTGGTGCTTCCAATCTTGGGAAGGGTTTGGTTGGACAGATAGCTTTTGTTTTTGAGTCTCCAGCCCTCCCTCAGTCAAGGAAAGTAAACCATAGCTGCTTTCTTGTCAGTGGCCTTTAAGAGAAAGAGTAAACGAATCTAGAATTCTGTTCATTTCAGTAGGTTGCGAGAGCCTTACTGTGACAGGAGGTTTAGTGCAATGGGGGCTTTTCGCATATAGAAACAATTATCGATGTCGCTGCCCCACCTTCCTGGGACTCCCGATTCTATCCCTTTTCTGTATTTAAAAGAATGTTTAAATGGCTCTGATTCTTTATTTTAAATTTTGAAGTTACCTTTTGGGGTTCTCTTCATGTGAATCTACTTGTTAGGTTCTGTTGAGTGTTTCTGGTTTGGGCAGGTTTAAGCATAGGCAGTGATGGGAGCCCAAAGTTGTTTTTGTAGTTGTTAATGGCTCTGAGGAATTGGTTTTTTGGTGCTTTTGGTTTACGCTCATTTCCCCCCAAAGTATTAGTTCATTTATAACAGTGGGTGAGTGACTGGAGAAAGGGAGAGAGAATGAGGGATACATTTCTTCCATGAAATAGCCTAATTGGTTGGGGTAGTGGCAGAGGAATTATAGGGGAACATTCCAGCTCATAGCCTAGGGCTGGACTCACCTAGTGTTTTCTGAATCCTGTCTTCAGGAGCCCAGATCTTACTCTCTCTGTACTTTACATATCACCCCCACTCATTACAGATGCTCATAAAACATTCTTAAAATATTCTATTCCTTTGTGTTTTTCTGTTTTCAAATAGAACATACCAGAGTCCCTTCCCCAGATGATGTGATCCTTTACTAGGCCCCAGCCTGCCCATCCCATCTCATGTCAGTGTTATTACTGCCCACTCAGGCCCCGAGATGATACCCAGACCCTGGACTGTTTAGACTTTTTGGAGGGTGTGGGTAGGAAGATGTAGGAACGATGAGGGAGAGAGATGTTATTTTAAAAGAGTGTTTAGAATTTGAAAAGCTGCCCAGCCTAGGAAGCCTGGTGGCTCTGAAGAGGTAATAGACCTCGTCAATAAAAATAGGGGGGAGGACATTACTTATACTGAGGATGAAGACCAGCCTTTGCTGCTTCTCAAGCCATGCTTGGGCTGAGCTACCTCAGCCCCATTCCATTCCTCTTCCTGTCCTAACTTGCCAGTCAGTGAGCATCATTCACCCTCCTAGTGTCTCTAGTGCTAACTCCCTGCTACTCCAATATGTCAGCCCATTGGGGGCTGAAGCCTATGTGTGGGCTGTTATTTTCCACCATAAAGATGCTGTGAGAGGCCTTTCTGGAATGTTGCAGGCATCCCAACAGTGGCCACTAGTCTTCTAAAAAAGGAACAATTGGCCAGGCGCTGTGGCTCACGCCTGTAATCCTAGCACTCTGGGAGGCCAAGGCGGGCGGATCGTTCTGAGCTCAGGAGTTCGAGACCAGCCTGAGCAAGAGCGAGACCCCCGTCTCTACTAAAAATAGAAAGAAATTAATTGGACAACTAAAAATATATAGAAAAAATTAGCCAGGCATGGTGGCACATGCCTGTAGTCCTAGCTACTCGGGAGGCTGAGGCAGGAGGATCGCCTGAGCCCAGGAGTTTGAGGTTGCTGTGAGCTAGGATGACGCCACGGCACTCTAGCCTGGGCAACACACTGAGACTCTGTCTCAAAAAAAAAAAAAAAAAAAAAAAAAAAAAAAAAAAAGGAACAATTGCTGCTCTCTTGTGCACATGCCCCACCTTCTGGAAAAGTAGGAGCATTGCACTCATGGGGGGCTACTTTGCATTCTTAGCCCAGGGCAATAAGCTTGGGTGAGTGATCAGATCCAAACTTGCCCCTAAGCTCTGCTAGACCTCTGAATTGGCAGGCGTTATAAGAGTCATTCTCTAAGGGGTAACTCCTAAATCTTGTGCCTTGTTATACGATTCTTCCAGATTTCCTTTTAAAGCACCTAGTCTTTCTGTGCTACCTGCATTTTAGATCCTTCCAGGCATTAGCAGATTCCTGAAATTTCTTCAGCTTTCACTTCTCCCTTCCAGAGGAGTCTTTCTTCAGCAGCTAAAACCATCCTGTGAGCTCTATCTTGCTTCTGATCTTTGCTGAATTTTGCTGCATCTCCCTAGGGGGTGGTCCCCACATGACTATAATGAGAAAGTCGGTGCCCTCATCACCCCAGTTACCACTGCTCTCTCTCCAACCTGTCCACTTGTTTTGAATAAACCTTCCTTCTCCAAGCAGATTCCCAAACTTCCTTGTCCTTGTTACACAGCTACCTCACAGTCTCACAATTCAACAAGGGCATAAGCATCTGGTTTACATCTTCCTTTACTGTCCTTTTTATGAGGGTTAGGAAGCTGGGGGCTAGAAAGGGCTCATGGTCAAATGCAAAAGCTCCCTTGGACATTTCTATTTCTGGACTTTTCCTTTGGGATTTGTAGCTTACTAATCACCCTAGAATAGTGTGAACTCCACAGATAGGTCCTGCTGTGGTAGGCCAGGAGGGTAGGCTGTGTAATGGACTGCCTAGGATAACAACTGATGGTTGGGAGTCACCCCCAGGAACACCAACATAGGAGCAGAGCTTGGAAGTTAAGAGGATAGGAGAGTTGGTCAGTGACTGTCATATAGCTGAGAAGGTAACCAAGTACCAAGGTGTGAAACAGGATTCCAGCTTCTGGATCCCTCTTCCATCTACAAAAGGCCAAGCTGGGAGGTTTGAGATTTTCTTATAGTGCTAGAAGCAGATGTTCCTTCTCCACCTTAACATCTAGTAGGTTTAGAGGGTTCACCTACACAAAGCTTCTAGCCTGGAGGGTCAATGAGACTTCTCCAGCCTGAGTAAAGAAAGTCTTCACCTCATTATCGTTGTACCCACTCCTCCTCCAACACATAGCCCTTTTGGCCTTTTTGGGTGGGTATACTTTGTTGGTTGCATGCACTTATCACTTGGACAGAAAATAAGTTTAATTTATACTTAAACACATTTTGTACATCTTTTCTTTATTCAGCGACTTCTTTCCTCCTCTATGCTAATGCCACATTGTAGCTTATTCTTCCTTTTCTGATCCCTGGTCTTCCCATGTTGCTTCCCTACAACTTGGTAGAGCTCCATTTTTGTCTTCAACCTTTTTTGTTTGGAAATAAAATACAAACGTCTACGTCTTGGTGTCTTATTCACGGGAGGGAGATGGGAAGCTGGTGATGGGCCCAATTTACTATTACAGGAACACAGGTGGCAGCTTAAGCCAAAGGCATGTCTCACAAGAAGGCAGGAACTCGGCACCCCGAGTCCCACTTTGTTCTAGCACCTTAGCCAGACTTTCAGGCAGAAGCACTAAGAACCTGTTCCATCCACACAAGGAGCGAACAGGAATCCAGCTTCTAGATGCCTCTTACATCAGAGAAGGCCAAGCTGGGAGGTTTAGGGTAAACTTTAGAAGTTTGGGGGCACATTGTTTCCTTGCCTGCTATCTCTTACACCAAGCCAGTCATACATACCCACCACAACACCCAGTCTCCCCCT